TATTTAAAGTGCATGAGACAAAATAAAATGACTTTTTTTGGAAATTTCTGGAAAATGTGTGTCCTTTGTATTTAAAGAACACTACCCCTCCCCCCCCAAAAAAAAACCATATATATCTGGACAGGGGAGTGAGACTCCTTTCGTTTGTTCTAGAAGCAGCCATCAGATAAATGAAGTTGGACGTTGGATGTGTAGAAGTGTACCTGAGAGTTCGGGAGGAATAAGCCAGTGATTTGATGAGCTTTCTTTTGAGAGTCCACAGAAGGCAGTACCACGAGCTCTCTGTGGTCCATGAGGCTCTCTCATCCATTTTGATAAAGCTCACATACTGAGATAGAATACCAAGCAAGTTTATGCCATGTACAAGATTTATCTGAGCCCTGGTGACATCAAACACCCACAATTCCTAACAATACAACATTTGGCAATCCTGTTCATCATGGTGTTAAACAGCTAAAGTAAGCTGGAAGTCTTCTATGTGTTGCTGAGGAATACGCTCAACACACAAGGGTCTCTGAGACTACTGAATTCTAACTGTGTAGGTGAAGATTCCACATTCAAATTCCGTGAGGTAATCCTCATTGATCCATTCCACAAAACTATTAAAAGGAATCCTGACACTCATAGGATCACCAAATCAGTTCAAAAGCACAGGGAGATGTTTAGGCTGACCCTGAAGACAGTGAGATTCTTGGCTCTTACAAACAGCTAGGAGTTCTCCCACATTATTGGTGGTCCCATGCAGCTTAGAAAAAGCACAATATGTTAGTATAATATTCATAAACTTCATATCTAATAAACAACTTGGCCCAGTCATATCTGTTTAAAAGTGTCACTTTTCTGTTAAAACTATTCTGCAAATTATTTCATGAATGTTTTGTCAATTTATGGAAATTAGAGTGCAATAATATTTGAAGATGCTTAGTGATGGTGTATTTTGTTTCTAATAAGATGAATATATTTGTCTTTATCTTATTAGATAGTTATCTGTCAGTATTTAAAACATGCTGTGTGGTATAATGGGTGTAAAATAAATTTTTGTGAAGAAGGAATGATGGAAATAGTCCTGTGTAATTGTTTGGTGCTAGTCATAAAACTTCATTTGGATGATGCAATGCTCCCTACCTTACCTTAACATGGTTGGGTTTTGTTTGTTTGTTTTGGAGTTTGGGAAGTACTGACTTTTTAAATTGAATTGTGCTTAGCGATTCCTAGGAAGGGCGTCATGGTCATATGTAGAAAAATGTGAGCTCAACTAAAGCCCACATTTTAAAATTCAGTCCAGTGTTCCATTTGTGTAACCGCTGCTTCTGAAAGTAAAATAGTTCCACAAAGACTGCCGTTTTCATGAGAATAACCCTGTTTCAAGAAGTTTCTCTTACCAATGAAAGAAATCTAGGTAAATCTAAACAAAATTGCCTAAGACTCCACCGTCTTTAGGTAAACTCACACTAAGGGTGAAAGCTGTTTCAAACCTATGGATCCATGGAATCTAGAATGCTGAATTTGTTGAACCAGAACTCACTAGCAATGTTTATACCAGTATATTTTGAAACCAATGGGAACTCATCAATAGTTAATTGTTCCCCTTAAGGTTTGTAAGCTAATAATAGGATGGAAGCCAGTAAGACAGGGGTCATTCAATAAATACCATTAAAGTGTGAGGTTAGAAAATTAAAGCCAGTTATACTCAAGGATTTAACATACTTATCTCCAGCACTGGTTTGTTACCTTTATAAATGCTCCAATTACTAGCATATGACCAGATTCTGGCCACGTTTTCTTATTCCCCATTCCATTAATATGCTTTGTACTTTGTCGTGGCTTGGGGATGAGATGTCCCCCATATACTTCTGTTAATACAACAATATTCAGACTTGAAATGATTGGATTATGAAAGCTTCCAGTCCATTTTACTACTATGAATAACTGGGTATTAACTGTAGGGCTAGGGGCACATGACTGGAAGAGATATGTCACTTGTGATGTGCCCTGGAAGGGTTCATTTTCCCGGTAGCCCCTTTCACTCTCTCTCTCTTTCTCTCTGCTTTCTGACCACCATGAGCAAAGCTATGCTACTCTGCCTCATCCTTCTGCCAAGATATTCTGCCTAACCTCAGGCCCAGAGCAAAGGAGCCCACTGAACTTGGGCCAAATCTCTGAAACTGTGATCTCAAAATGAACATTTCTTCCTTCAAGTTATTCTTTTCGGATAACTTTTTCATGCTGACAGAAAACTGATTAACAAAATTGTTACCAAGAAGTGGGGTTACTGCTGTGGCTACCCTGACAAAAATAATGGTTCAGAACATTTGGGACACGATTTGGGGGAGCAATTTGGAAAATACTGGAGATGCAAGCTAGACTCAGAAAGTCAAGGGTCAAATATTTTCTCTCATATGTGGAAGCTAAATCAAAATAAGGGGGAAAAAGGGAAAGGGGAATTCCCATGAAAGTAGAAGAACATTAGAGCAGAGGACGGAGATTAAAGGGGAAGGAGGAGGAATGGGAAAAGAGAGGAATGGTGGAATTACTCTTATGAATATCTATGAAGCACCTATTTAAAAATGAATAAATAAATAGATAGAAGGAAAACCACTAAAATATAGATGGGAAATTATGGTGAGTGAGAAGTGAAGGGAAAGAGGAAGTCCTTGGGACCAAAATGGAGCAACTTATATTTCATGCATGTATGATGATGTAAAAATGAACCCCACTATTATGTATAATTAAGGTGCACTGATAAAACATTTTGAAAAATTCAATTGAGATCTTTAAACTTAATTTGTTCAAACCAAATTGTGAATATCTTTCAACTGAATTACATAGTGATACATATAATTCATATCCAATATAGAGGTTATGTGTATGTATGTATTACATATTCATACATATAAAACATATTTTCTTCATGGATAATAATGCTGAGCATCTAGTCATGTACTATTGGACATTAGTAATTCTTCTTCAATTAATGGTACCAAGAAAACTGGATATTCACATGCAGAAGATGAAACTGTACCCTTGTTTTATGCATAAAAATCAAATAAAAATGGGTTAAAGACTTAAATAGAAGACCTAAAACTGTAAAAACTCCTAAAGCCAAATATAAAGAATAATCCCTTGACATTGGTGTTACCAATTATTTTTTGGATATAATACCACAAGCACAGGCAATAAAAAGAAAAATTAATGATGGAACTATGTCAAGGTAAACTTCCACACAGAAAAGTGAAAATAATAATAAAAAAAACTTGGAATCGGCAAAAAAAATTAAAAAACAAAAAATCAAAAAAAGGGGAAAAATCAAAACAAAAAAAGAAATCAAGAAAATCAAGAAAAAAATTTTTAAAAAAAAAAAAAACAAAAAAGAACCAAATAAAAAAAAGAACAAAAAACAAAAAAAAAAAACTTTTTTTTTAAAGAAAACAACCAAATAGTCAAAATGTATATGAAAACATTTTCAACTTCTCTAATATTCAGGAAAACGAAAGTCAAAATCACAATGAAAGATAATATACCTGTTAGGACAACTGTGATCAATATGAAATGAGACAAAAAATATTAACAAGAATGAGATAAAAAGGGAACTCTTGTCACTGTTGGTGGTAGTGTAAATTGGTACAGCTATTATGGAAAACAAATGATTAAAAATAGAACCACCTTATGGCCCCAGTTATCCTGTTTCAGGGTGTATATTAAGAGGTAGTGGTAATAGCATAATGAAGATATCTGCACACCCATGTTCATTGAAGCATTATGCACAAAAATCAATGTATACAATAACCTATGTCTGTTAACACGTGTTAGATAAAAAAAATTGTGACATCTATCATCAAACCCACACCCCCCCCACACACACACACATACACACACAACATGATCATTTAGCTTTATTCAGCTTTCAAAAAAGAGAAAAGCCTCCCACATGATAGGCCAGACAGCACGTGATCAAGCACTTGAGCAGCACAGAAACAGCACAAGATCAATGATCAACATTCTAATTGTGTGGGAGGGTGGATGATTACTGAGTGTACCTCTCTGAAATGGATTTAGAAAATCCCTTTCTAAAAGTCATTAGCTAATATCTCTGAAGGTCACCTCCAACACATACATGAACCCCTAGATTGAGGCAACTCAGTGGCAATTTACTCAGAACCCCTTCATTAAGGAAGACTGCTTCTTTTCTGTTTCAAAAATAATCTTCTTATTTTACTCTACCTTCCATTGTCCACCCGTCTCCTTCTTCAGACCTATGAAACAAAGAAATTACATCTCCATGCTCTCAATACTATATCATACACTTAAAAATATAAAGGGGAAGACCTCACACTAAGTGTTTTATTCTTACCAGAATAAAAGAAGATATGAATGAGAAAGATATGCATGAACATTCTTGGGAAGACATGTTCGGTATAAAGTTATGTGGATACCAAACAAATGGTTTCATTTGGGTTTAAAATGATACATATGTGTGTGTGCATGTGTGTGTAGTCTCTGATGTGAATAAGGGATGGTCTAAGTCCCTTGAAGTTTCTCAGAGACAACTTTTCAATCAAAGGGGGTCACCCTCTTTTTTTTCATATATCAGGGTATCCTGAAGAGTATGCCTTGAGAAATGTTCTCATAGTTCAGTACACAAATATAAATATGCAGCATATATACAATATATTTTATATTAATTTTACATATATTTATCATTTATACATATGTCTATAGCAAAAATTTTCTTTTACTTTATTTGCCTAGTCAATGATGTGGAAAAATAAACTGTGAAAACAATTACTTCTCCCAAATTAAAAAGCTACAGGAGCCATAATGGAAGCTTTGTTTCTTTAGTGTATCAAACTATGTTATTTTGAATGTCATAAAACAAACATGCTACTATTACCTT